ATTCTATTAATTGCTTAAAAAAAATTTGCATAGATTCAAGGGCATAGATTCAAGGTCCTCAAATCAGAAAAATCTACCGATACTTTAATCGAGAAACAATAAAAAACACAATTCCAATATCTAGATTAACTGCATATGAATCTTTATTTTTTTGTTTTTATTTTTATTTTCAAGAATATCATCTTCTATGCAACAGTAAAATTGACTCAGTATTGTCCTAGAATAAAACAACAATTCAGTTCAAACATCTATAATTATCTACCCCACAGTATAAGATTTGCATTGTCCTCAATCAAATATAAGAAATAGAGTGCAATTGAAACTTCCCTGAAGAGTAAGTAAATAAGAAAAAAGTCTTGGGAAGCAAAACCAATCTGAGATTGAATTGGAAAGGGAACCTGATCAAAATTGATTTATAAGGAAATTTAACTCAGTTCAGAATGACAAGAGGAAAGAACTATCAAAATGATGCAATAAAGAACAGAAATAGTAAAGAGACAAAAGAAATTTAAATCCTAAAAATAACATAAGTAAAAGGGAATTCAATAACTACGACTATTCTAATTGCAGACTAAAGTGTTGTACTAGCATCATCTGAGTCTTTATCATCTATACTAAGAAAATGGTCAGAAGGAGATGGGGTTCATGCTAGGGCAAGAACGCTTATTCAAAATATAAATAAATGAGAAAATAAATAACTAAATTAAAATAAACTAAACCTACCTAACCTAAACTATTCAATGTAATTCAACATTCAACATATAGGAGTTTAAACTCCTCATTTGCAAAAATTTGTAGTTGACCCCCTGGTACAGTTTCAGCCTATGTCCATTCACCTTAAAATTTCCTTTTGCTGGAAGAGTTAATTCAATTGTACCATAAGGAAATACCTCATGCACAGTAAACGGTCCAGACCAATGGGATTTAAGTTTACTTGGGAATAATTTGAGATGAGAGTTGTACAATAGTACTAAGTCACCTTTTTGAAATAGTTTACCTCCCTTGAATTTTTTTTATCATGGTAGACCTTCAATTCTTCATCTGGTGGTTCATTGATGGATAGATTGGGTTGCTTCTCTGATTTCCACTTCAAAACTTTGAAGTCTCTTTTTCTCCATAATGCCTTAGTGGCTTCTAAATGACACCACTGTTCTTGAGTTAGCAAGCTCATATAATCTTTTCCTCTTTCATAAACTAAGCTTCTTTTCAAATGGTTTGAAATCAAGAATTCCTGTGCACAATTAGAAACATAATCATCAATTACATTAATAAAGTAGCAAGAATCATCTTGTTTCAAAGACTTTTTTATTACATCAGGAATTTTGAAAGTGACTTTTTCATCTCCAACTCTCAAAATTAACTTTCCATCCCTCACATCAATTATAGCCCCTGCAGTAGCTAAAAATGGATGACCTAAGATCAATGGGACATTAGTGTCCTCGTCCATATCAAGAATCACAAAATTAACAAGAAAAATAAATTTGTCCACTTTTACTAGCACATCCTCAATGATACCCCTAGGATATTTAATTGACCTATCAGCTAGTTGAATACTCATCCTAATTGGCCTAGGTTCCCTTAAACCCAATTTCTTAAAAACAGAATATGGCATCAAATTAATGCTAGCGCCTAAATCAGCTAAAGTCCTATCAACTATCAATCTACCAATGAGACAAGGAAGAGTAAAACTCCCTGGATCCTTCAATTTTTTGGGCATCTTGTTTTGCAGAATTGCTGAGCATTCTTCATTCAGAGTTACTGTGGCCAACTCCTTCAATTTCTTCTTGTTGGACAATAGATCCTTCAAAAATTTAGCGTACTTAGGCATCTATGCCAAGACATCAACAAACGGTAAATTAATATGAAATTGATGAAATAAGGACAGAAATTTACCAAATTGTTCATCATCCTTGTCTTTCTTCAATCCTTGACTTTCACCTTCTTTCAGAATCCTTATTTCTCCTTTTCAAGATTTTTCGTCTTCTTCTCATTCACATTTGGGTTAGTGTTTCAATGGAAGGCTAAACCTCTCATCCAATCTGCAAAGTCCAGATTTTTCAAATTCAATTTGAGTTATGGAATCAATTACTCTAAGTTTGTTATCTTTTCCTCTAATCTTACATTTACAATTCATGATTATGATTAAATTTTTTGTGAGTTAGAATTCAAATTAGGATTCGATTGATATTCTATTTTGATAATTAAATTTGGGTTAGGTTAAATGATAATTTGATTTAATTCGTAATTTGGTTTAATTAGGCTATTCAATTGAATTAATAATTTAATTCTGTAATTGTTCAAATTCATATTAAAATCTTGTGATATTGTGATAATCAGAATTACATGCATTTGTAAATTTGTGGATTGATAACTCTCATTTTGTTTTTCATCAAGAAAATTATGTTCATAATTTAATTAAATTGATTCAAAATTACAAATCTCCAACCTGTTAACTGCATAATTAAAGAACCTAAAATTAAATTTAACTAAAATGTGTCTCAGTGAATCGACCTAGGTTGAACTCTATACTGCAAAATTCTGAGAGAAACTTAGTTATTTTGATAGCGACTCGACAATCGTCTATCAACCTTTCATGACTTTGACTGCTTGGAAAAGCCAGATAGATTTACTCGAGAACAAATAATCAGTACATATGTCATAACAAATAGTAGAGACCATTATGATGAAACCTGACATAAGAAGAAATGGAAGAAATAGAAGGTTGGTTTGATGAAGAATGATCTAGACTAGGATCATATTCACAGGATTTTGGGATAAGAATGATCTGTTAAGAGTTCTTGACTTGGTGGTGAAGTGTTGAAACGACTATACGTGTGCGTATTGTGAATGGGAAAAAAATTTGATATTCCAATCTTTTAACACCGTAATTTAGGAAAAGTGTAGACCAGAGAAAATAATCTTTTTTTTTTAAATGATTGCTTTGACTAAAACTTATTTTGCTCAGTGATAAAAGTTAATGGATGAAAAGAAAAAAGAGTAAATGACAAGTCAAAATAAGGAGAACATCAGACAACGTGAGTAGGGAGGATAAAAATGAAACCTTACTTCACCATTGTAATACCCGAAGGGAATATTAGATAATAATATAGAAAAAGACATAGAAAATTAAGAATTCCTTACGTCTTTAATCATAATGGGTATTTATGATATAGACAATGAAAATTTAAATGGAGTGTGAAAGAAATCAATTTAACCAATTACAATATAAAAGGGGTAACTAAACTTGATTTTTGGAAACACTATAAATAACCTTCGTTTAGAATGTGTAATTTAGAGAGAGAAAGGGAGAGATGTAACACCTTAAATTTATTTTCAAATAAATAGAAATTTTCAAAAATTCTAAAATAATTAAATTCCCATTTAAATCCAAATCCATTAATATTTCAAATAATGTAAAGGTTTACAAATTTCATCAACAGTTGATACAGGACTTATTCAAATACAACAGTTTTCAAATTAAAATCCTAAGTTCTATAGCAGTTTCATCTGCCCCCTTCACTGAGTACGGTGTTGATCGTCTTGATTACCTGAAAAATGAACGTAAGGGTGAGTACCCTACACTACCAAAATGCAGCAATCAATCGTAGAGTCTCACCTTCGAATCATTTAAAATACATTAAAATAATTATAACCACATTCAACATTATCTCACAGTACTTTTTAATTCCATAATTCACAACATATCATATCGGCATTACCCATCCCATTTACAGCATATTATACCAGCGTTATACGCCCCTTTAAAGCACACTATACCAGCGTTATACTCCCCTTTACAGTACATTATACTACTGTTAGCACGCCCCATTATAGTATATTATACCGGCGTTAGCATGCCCTATTACATGCATGCAACATTCATGCCTCACACGACAGCCAATCCACATTTCATTCGCAATATACGGCACTAGGCCCACATTGATTTCACAGCACACGGCACATAGCCTACCATTATCCATAATACATGACACCTAGCCTATTTTCATTTGTATTGCACGGCATATAGCCTACATCCACTAGTAGTTTACTGCACGTAGCTTATAATAATTTACACATCACCATACACAGCAATTTTCATCCAATACATATTCTCTCGTCCTCACACACGATATTCACATGTCACAGCACATGGCCCTCATCACATTTCACAATCAACTTTTATTCTCTACACGTTTTCTACCCTCCAACTCAGCCACATTGCAACATTCCATAAAGTAACAGTGAATTACACACAAAAAGAGTAGGGTAGAGTCCCCTCTTACCTTGGATTGATGACCTACACTCAGATTTGACAATGGAAGTATTCTCCATATATATTTTGACTTAAAACACATGGAAGAACTCCATAAGAACCCAAGGACACCAAAAAATAGAGAAAATGGTTGAAAAACGGAAACCTTAACCTTTAAAACTCACCTTCAAGCGTTCCCCACATAGATTCAACCTTCAATCAAGCTCCTGAACGGCTTTGGAGGCAATTAATCGGTAGAATAGGGCTTTGCATCGAGAGGATCGAAGAGATTTGGGAGGGAATTTGAGAAATGAATCTCAAATCCCTAAACTCCCTTTTAAAACCCTTCTGATCGCGATACTCTCGCTACAGCGAGACTACACCCAGAAATGCACCCCAAATTGTCGCTCTTTCGCTTCAGCGAGATAGTCTCGCTACAGCGAGAAGGCGACAGACACGTGTCTTTCACTCAGGGTCCTTTCATTACAACTAGACATCTCTCGCTACAGCGAGAATGCCCTACACCAGCACTTAGCCTATTTCTAGCCCAAACCAGTCATGCACACATAAATACACATATTCATATACTTAATACACATAAACATCATTATTACGCACTTGAGTGGACGTTCCAATACTCATTCTCACACATATAAACATCGATAATTTATATTACCAAAATTCGGACGTTACAACTCTCCCCACCTTTAAGGAATTTCGTCCTCAAAATTCAACCAAACATATACAGTTACAAGAATAACCCGGGATACAATTCTCTCATTCTACTCTCCGTTTCCCATGTGGCATCTCTCTCAACACTTGAGCTCCGTATTACCTTCACCAATGAGATCTCTTTACCCCTCAGCTGTTTAACGCGGTGATCAGAAATTCTTACCGGGTATAAGTCATACAACAAGTCCTTTCTCACTTGAACCGGGTCAGGATCAATCACATGGGGAGGATCCGGCACATATTGCCTAAGCTGTGACATATGAAAGACCGGATGTAAATTCGAGAGGTTCAGAAGCAATGCAATCCGGTATGTAGCAGGACTAATTCTATTCAGCACTTCGAATAGTCCAATGAACTTAGGAGATAGCTTTCGGGATTTCAGGGCTCTCCCAACTCCGGTCACAGGTGAGACCTTCAGAAACACATGGTCCCCCACCTGGAACTCTAACGGCTTCCGTTTCCTATCATAGTAACTCTTTTGTCGATCCTAGGTAGCCTTCATTTTCTCTTTAATCATTTTGATCTGCTTATTCTGCCTTTAGACGATATCCGGTGCACACAGAGTCGCCTATCCGGTTTCATACCAACACAATGGAGTTCTGCACCTCCGCTCATACAAGGCCTCAAACGGTGTCATTCCAATGCTAGCATAGTAACTGTTGTTGTACGTAAATTCTACCAGCAGCAGGCACTCTTCCCAAGTTCCCTGCTGCTCGAGCACACAAGCCCTCAACAAATCCTCTAAGGAGTGGATGGTCCGCTCAGTTTGACCGTCAGTATGTGGGTGATAAGCTGAGCTCAGTCACAACTTAGTCTCCAATGCCCGTTGCAGGCTCTTCTAAAACCTCGAGGTAAACCTCAAATCTCTATCTGACACCACACTAGTCGGGACTCCATGTAGCCTGACTATCTCTCGCACATATAACTCCGCAAGTCTTTCCAACTTATACTTCATGTTGATCGGAAGAAAGTGTGCAGCCTTGGTTACCGACCCACTATCACCCAGATGGCATCATGATTGTTCCTAGTCTTAGGCAACTCAGAAACAAAGTCCATGGAAATATTATCTCATTTTCACTCAGGGATCTCCAGCAGCTCTAACAACCCAGGTGGACGCTAGTGTTCTACCTTCACCTTCTAGCAAGTTAGGCATCTAGCCACATATTCAGCCACGTCCCTCTTCATTCTATTCCACCAAAAACTCTTCTGGAGATTCTGATTCATTTTAGTCGCACTGAGGTGAAAACTCATCCTACTCTTATGCGCTTCCTCAAGCACCATCTGTCTCAGCTCATCCACTTGAGGAATACACACTCAATTCCAGAACTTAATCACCTCATTCTCATCACAGTGGAAATGCAAGTCCTTTCTCTCATCCTTCTGCCTCATCATGTCTTGCAGGAAGACATCTCCCTGCTGAACATCTCGGACGTACACTAGAAAGTCGTTGTGAATCGTTGTCATCCCGAGATACAAGCTCCCCGACCTTACCTTCATGGCCAAGTTCATGTCTCAAAATTCCTCAAGCAACTCCATCTCTTTCACTATCATTGCTGCCACATCCAATGACTTCTGGCTCAAAGTGTTGGCCACCACATTTTCCTTACCAGGGTAGTAAGACAATGTGAAGTCATAATTCTTGAGGAATTCCATCCATCTACTCTGCCGCATGTTCAGCTCCCTTTGATCAAACAAATACTTCAAGTTCTTGTGGTCACTGAACACTTCAAAACTCGCTCCATACAGGTAATGCCTCCATACTTTAAGAGCAAAAACTACTGCGGCTAACTCCAGATCATGAGTCAGATAGTTGACTTCATGCGGACGTAACTGCCTCGAGACATAAGCGACCACTCACCCGTCTTGCATTAAAACACACCCAAGTCCACGCCCAGATGCATCACAGTACACGTCAATTTTTTGCTCTGGTCCGATAGAGCCAATACCAGCGCCAAAGTCAACCTTATTTTCAACTCCAGGAAACTAGCTTCACACCCTTTGGTACACTTAAACTCCTTTCCCTTGCGAGTCAGCTTTGTTAAGGGCAACACTATCTTGGAAAATCCCTCAATGAACTTTCTGTAATAACCTGCTAGTCCCATAAAACTACGAACCTCAGTCACATTCGTCGGCCTCAGCCACTGCTTTCACTTTTACAGGGTCTACCATGATTCCTTCCTTCGACACCACATGCCCTAGAAACTGAATTTTTGACAACCAGAATTCACACTTGGAGAATTTTGCATACAGCTGCCTCTCCCTCAGAATTTGCAGGACAATTCCCAAGTGCTCGACATGCTCTTCCTAAGTCTTTGAATAAATTAGGATGTCGTCAATGAACACCACCACAAACTTATCCAAAAACTTGTGGAAGATCTTGTTCATGTAGTCCATGAACACTGCAGGAGCATTGGTCACCCCAAACGGCATCACTAAATACACATAGTGACCATATCGTGTCCTGAACGCTATCTTAGGCACATCCTCATTCTTCACTTGGATTTGATGGTATCCCGATCTTAAATTGATCTTCGATAACATTGCGGCTCCCCTCAACTGATCCATTGAATCATCAATCCTTGGAAGAGGATACTTGTTCTTGACCGTTACTTTATTCAGTTGCCGGTAATCTACACACATCCTCATGTTTCTGTCTTTCTTTTTCACCAAGAGCACTGGTGCTCCCCACGGTGACACACTCGGTCTTATAAACCGTTTCTGTAGCAAGTCTTCAACTTGTTTTTTTACCTCCGCCAACTCCACTGGTGCAATCCTATAAGGTGCCACAGAAATCATATTTGCCCCTGGAATGAGGTCAATAGCAAACTTTATTTTCCTTTCAGGCGGTAGCTCAAAAACATCTTCGGGAAAAACCTCCGAGAAATCCCTCAGCACAAGAATATACTCCGGCTCCACCACACTTTCGGCTTCTATTGAGAACATAACCATGAAAGCCCTGGCATTTACCATGTTCTCCCACGTTCCCTGGCTCATAAGCCTTGAAACCTCTGCCATTGTTGCACCGAAGATCAAGGTCTTCTCCCTACAGTCCAATAGCACATGGTTGGTAGCAAGTCAATCCATTCTCAGAATTACATCCAGTTGAGAAAGAGGTAAACAAATTAAGTCCACCTCAAACTCCCTACCGTGTACCATCATTGCATACCCCAAACACACCCATGACGTCACAACTGGCTTACCTGTAGGGGCAGTCACCATAATATTACATTGCAATTCCATCACATACAAATTCAGACTCTTCACACAGTCCACAGATATAAACGAGTGCGTAGCACCCAAATCAAACAGCATGTCAGGCAATCGACCCTTAATAATGTATTTACCTCGGATCAGCTCCTCTGACTGCGAAGCCTCTGCCCCACTCATAGCAAAGACTCTTCCAGGAATACTCGGCTTCTGCCCCGTACTCAGCCCCACGATTCCTCTCGATTCAGGCCTCTGAGTTGTACTTGTACTACCGCTTCTCTTAGCGGCCCAGCACTCATTGGTAATGTGTCCCGACTTCCCATAGTTGTTGTAAGTAATCTTTGGCTGTGGGCAGTCCTTCACTATGTGTGGCCCTCTGCAACTGAAGCACTTGAGTAGTCCTCTGGAAGAACCTAGTCCCAAGCCACTCCTACTGCTCTTTTCTTGAGACGAGCTCCCTCGGGATTAAGAATTGTTCAAGCCCGAATACGGCCTCTTTGAGAACTTCGGGGGTCTTCTATCGTGTCCTATTGGGCCAGCTCCCCTAGTGTCCACTGTCTTTCCTCTTGTGTTAGCTTCAAAAATCCTACTCTTGCTTACCAGAGTGGGCAAGTCCGTCAGTTGAAACACACTGACTGCAGCTTGGATGTTCGGCCTCAATCCAATTTTAAACTGAGAACACAAATCTTCCTCTCGATCACCATGTTGGTAGTGAGGCCAATACTTCATCAGCTCTTAGAATTTAGCCACATATTCCCCCACAGTCATACTTCCTTGTTTCAGCTCAAGGAATTCTCTGGCCTTTTGCTTCTTCAAGTCTCAGGGAAAATAATTCCCTAGAAAGATTGCCTTGAAGGTCTCCCATTGGATGTAGCCACCTTCTTGTGGCAGAGTCTGACTGGAAAACCTCCACCAGTCTTCTGCCTTGCCACACAACAAGTAAGTGGCATAGGTCACCTTGTGCTCCTCACGGCACCCCATGGCGTTAAAGACTTTCTCTACATCAGCCACCCACCTTTGGGCTCCTTTGGGATTGAATCCTCCCTCAAACTTCGGAGGATCGTGCCTAGTGAAGGCAGACAACCCTCGGTACTCAACTGGCTCCCTGCCTTGATTGCGCACTAAGGCCTCCAGCATTTGAGCTATGCGCTCCATGGGATCATTAGTACTTCTAGATCCTCTAACTCTACCAGACATTCTTAAGCTAAGCTAATCACAAATCAGCAGTTACATCGCACCATATCAGATCAACCAATACATTTATAATTCAGGCAAACAAAACAATCAACACTTAACCTTGAACATCTCAGCCTGATACCTCATTCCGATTGGATGAACTGCTCTGATACTAAAATTGTAACACCTTAAATTTATTTTAAAATAAATAGAAATTTTCAAAAATTCTAAAATAACTCAATTCCTATTTTAAATTCAAATCCATCAATATTTCAAATAATGTAAGGGTTTACAAATTTCATCAACAATTGCTATAGGACTTATTTAAATATAACAGTTTTCAAATTAAAATCCTAAGTCCTATAGCGGTTTCATCCACCTTTTTACTGAGTCTGGTGCTAATCGTCTTGATTACCTGAAAAATGAAAGTAAAGGTGAGTATCATACACTACCAAAATGCAGCAATCAATTGTAGATTCTCACCTCTGAATCATTTAAAATACATTAAAACAATTATAACCACAGTCAACATTATCTCAAAGTACTTTTTAATTCCATAATTCATAGCATATTATACCGGCGCTTCATGCCCATTCACAGCATATCATACCGGCGTTACCCATCCCATTTACAACATATTATACCAGCGTTACATGCTCCTTTACAGCATATTATACCGGCATTATACTGGCATTAGCACACCCAATTACAGCATATTATACCGGCGTTAACACGCTTCATTACAGCACATTATACCGGTGTTAGCATGCCCCATTACATGTATGCAACATTCATGCCTCACACGACACCCAATCCACATTTTATTCGCAATATACGGCAGTAGGCCCACATTGATTTCATAGCATACGCCACATACCCTACCATTATCCATAATACACGGCACCTAGCCCATTTTCATTTGTATTGCATGGCATATAGCCTATATTTACTAGTAGTTTACGGCACGTAGCTTACAATCATTTACACGTCACCGTACACAGCAATTTCCATCCAATACATATTCTCTCGTCCTCACACACGATATTCACACGTCACGGCACATGGCCCTCATCACATTTCACAATCAGCTTTCATTCTCTACATATTTTTTACCCTCCAACTCAGCCACATTACAACATTCCACAAAGTAACAATGAATTACACACAAAAAGAGTAGGGTAGAGTCCCCCCTTACCTTGGATTGATGACCTACACTTAGATTTGACAACAGAAGTATTCTCCACACAGATTTTGACCTAAAACACATGAAAGAACTCCATGAGAACCCAAGGACACAGAAAAATAGAGAAAATGGTTGAAAAATGAAAATCTTAACCTTTAAAACTCACCTCCAAACGTTCCCCACACGGATTCAACCTTCAATCAAGCTCTCGAATGTCTTTGGAGGCAATTAATCGGTAGAATAGGGCTTTGGGTCGAGAGGATCGAAGAGATTTGGGAGGGAATTTAAGAAATGAATCTCAAATTCCTAAACCCCCTTTTAAAACCCTTCTAATCGCGACACTCTCGCTACAGTAAGACTGCACCTAGAAATGCAACACAAACTGTCGCTTTGTCACTTCAGCGAAATAGTCTCGCTACAGCAAGAAGGTGAATGACACGTGTATTTCACCTAGGGTCCTCTTGCTACAACGAGACATCTCTCGCTGCAGTGAGAATGTCCTGCACCAACACTTAGCCTATTTCCAGCCCAAACCAATTATGCATACATAAATACACATATCCATATACTTAATACACATAAACATTATTATTACGCACTTGAGTGCATGTTCCAATACTCATTCTCACACATCTAAACATAGATAATTTATATTACCAAAATCTAGGGCGTTACAAGAGAAGTGAGAGAAATAATCATTCTTAACTCGTTAAAAATCATGAGTAAGACTTGTACAGAAGAAATTTAAGAAAGCCAATTTAACAAGTTTAGTACTCTATTCAAGGTTGTTGTAAGAGGGTGACATATGATATAACCATAACATATATGTCAATAAGAGTGAGAAGAAGTGATAGGTGACCCAAAGAAAAGAACTTGTATGTATGATCCTTTAGAGGAATATAAATATAATGTGCTTAATGTACTAAATTGAAGTTGTAGGAGACATAAGTGTAAAAGATTTTTTTTTTTTTTTAAATGTTAGTATGTGATCATACATCATAGTAATGAAGGAGAATCAGTAAATCAAGGTTACAACTGGCACAAATGTGGGATGCTTTATGTTAGGTTCGTGATAGACCTTCGAGGTGGCAAAGGAGGGCATGACCTAATCTCATTGTGGCCAGGTCACGTCAAGAGCGTGATAGGTATATTCTTGAACAACACCCTTGAGGCATAGGTGATTGATAAATGTTTTTATTAAAATGTGTTAGGATGTGATTAGTAGGGAATGAATCCATTCAGTTGCCTTGAATATGAGTTTGGTTTGTTTGGAAAAGTAATTTTGGGATCCTCATGCATTGCATGTAAATAATCAGATAATGACTTTCATAATTGAATTGCATCATGCATCACATTCATTTTCCTAATTTTATACTTGAATTCCTTGAGGTGTATTAATGTTATATTGTATTAGATTAAAATAATTTAATGATTCTTTCTTATTATTCATTGTTTGAATTATCTTTGATTTCATGGACTCACCCTTTTACGTGAGTGTTTAACATATCTATTTGTTGGTATGTGTTATTTGTTATGTGCATATGAGGCAAGACATGATCAAGGTCTGGGTACTTCCAACAGAGGACAACCTATTTATGACGACAATAACCAACAATTTATTTACCAAGGGTTAGCCAGGATGACCCTTGGCTCTGTTTCTGAGATGGTTAGGATCCCCATTGCACTACTAACTTGCTTGTTGAGATCATCTTCCCCTTACCTCTATACCATTTTCTCTCATATCTCTTATAGCTACACCTGCCCCTATGGACACCTACAACCCCACTCTTGACCTCAACCCAAATAGGGCCCTTGATGTTCATTCGCCTTGACCACCGTTACCTTCTCCTGAGCTTGAATAGGTAGACATCCATGTGGTAGAGTCTTCTGTTCTTTCCTATCCACCTGCTCAGGCACTTAGACAACCCACTGACGAGGCTGGACCTTCCCACTATAGTCTTTCACCACCTACTCCCTTTTCACCCTCCCACATATCAGCATCCACTCCTGGCTGCTTAGAGGATGTTGATGGAGACGTGCCTGGTATGTTTGTTGATCCCCCATGCTTCCTTATCCATCTCCTCTTATTTTGACCCTTCAGAGGAGTACTCTCCTCTTGATTAATGCTTCTTAATCTTGTTTGTTTTGATTTCAAAACTACACGAGGGGTTATTTTAGGGAGTTAATGACGCATTTTTATTTTTTTTGGTTATATGATAGTATCCTCCCTTGGAATGTAATAGTTATTTAGTACTCTTTTTACTCCTCTTGATGATTAGATGATCTTTGATTTTATGTATGTATTCCAAGCCTATGTAGCCCAGCAGTGATTAGATGGATTATGACTATTTTCTTTATGTTGGAATATATTGAATGCTTGTGTGTGAGATTATTTTATACTATAACTCAGAGATGATGCAAGTACTTAAATCAAAACAGTAAAGAGATGAGAACAAATTAATCCTACATAAATACTTGATGTTGATTTAGTGGTTTAATTTTTTTTGTATGTAATGCATGTTAACTCTCTCTTAAGGGTATAAAAGGTGTTGTATGATTTTACATGCCCATTCTAGAATCTGAAGTGTCACAACCCCTATTTATATAAGATACAAATGAATTAAAACTGATATATGAATTAGAGGTTAATATGAAAATAAAGTTAATCATTAATTTTAATAGTAGAAAATAAAGTAGAATTTTAGTCATCCACTTAACATAAATAAATAATCCTGACGTAGAGTTTGAGGGAAAAAACAACATATTACAAGAAAATTGTTGAAAAATTGTATTAATTATTTTGTTTATAAGATGAGCCATAAATTTATTTTATACACAGATATAATTGAAGGCATGTGATGTTTATTAATTATATAAAAATTTAAATATTTTCATAATTATATTAAATCTAAATTAATTTTATTTATTAGGTAAATTATATAGTGTCATGATTTACGTTTAGTCTATATATTATAAATGAAAGTCTATTATTTAAAAAGTTAATCATTAGTGAAATTATTTAAAAATATTTTTTTAAATCTAAATAAAATAAGAATAGTTAAGAAATTAAGCTTAATTTTAACTGTTACATATAAAAAATTATTGAATGCAACAATCAAATATAATAGAAAAGTTATTCTATAATAAAATAAAAAGGAGAAAAATATGTTTAAAAGGAAAAATAAGTCATTACTAAAAAAATTAAGAGGAAGTAAAATTATTTATTTTTAAATTAAGAGATTTATGTTATATATAAAATTATTATTTCAAAGTAATATTATTAAGTCAAATTAAAATATAATTGTAGTGAAGATCTTTTGAAGTCGACGTCCACGTCGTCTCGACTCATCATAATAAATAGAGCACTCCATGTCAAACCTACTCAAGAAGGAGCAACTATTGCTATAACAGCCCCTGCTCAGTGACTCACGTCACAGTAATGATAAAAATCCTATCTAGAGGGTAATATAAAGGCTTATATAAAAAAAGGGAACCTCATGCCTAATGTACATTACTCATTTTTTACCTTATACAACCTACCTTTAACTCTTTTAAGTATGAACATTGGAGTATTTCTTTGGAGAAACTCTACCAGCCCACTCAAAGAACATTTGCATTGGAACAGTACCAACCTCCATGTACTGAACAAATTAAGATATTAAATTGAAATTCATCCATATTTTTATTTTTTATAAATTATAATTTTACTCCCATCCTTTATTTTCCATATCTAAGTCATATTCATACTACCAATATCCGTTTTTTATATTCATTCTTAAAATAAGTCAATAAACCAAGTGCAAGAGAGGACAATGAAAGTTGAGGAATTTTTTTTACCATCTTACTTTTATTCCTCTTATGCCTTGTTGAAAGTATTATGAAATTAAAAGTCACCAGCATATGATATGGACCGCAATGGAACGAGGGTAGTGCATGCCAACAGCGAAAATTCAACGATTAGCATTGCCACGTGCTTATAGTGAGTGATACATGATACCGAGTGGAACAAAATTCATGACTTTGACAAGGAAATTGCGAAGCACGAAATTACCGAAATGAACAATATGGGAAGGTAACATAAATGTCCTTGAAGACATAAACGAGTGTGTATAAAGGCAAGGAGTTAAGACCAAAGGCTTACTTCAAAATTAGATATTCTTTGACAAGAACATAAGTAATACTTGTATAAAATGTTTGGATTATAATTTGTTGCACAATTTTATCTATAAACAACATATTAAGGAGTATCTGAAAGTATTTATCTAAGTTTATGAAAATTATGTATAATTTTCTCAAACACTTTTTAATTTATCAGTTTATGAAAATATTGAATGCATATAATGGATAAGTCATGCTTCCTACCCACACAGGTCTTGAATCTTCAGCAAATAAGTTATGGTGGATGGTATCATGCAAGACAGCTACAGTGCATTGGATGTGCATAACTCACTTTCAAGTCCCATATCATCTACCAATTTCACTGTATGAAATATGCAATTCAATCATCTATTGTTGTTCTACTGCATATTGAATTGAGCATTGCTCCTTCGTGCTCAACCTAAACACGTCAACTTTGTTGCAACTTGATCACTACTCCATGTTGGGCTGTTAATCTTTAAATCTATTATAGTGATACTAGACCAATTTTTCAGGGATATTTATTAAAATGATTTTTTTCAAAACTCATTTGAATTATGATCAAATTTAAAATAGATATTTATTTAAATTGTATATCTGAATATCTCATTAGTAAAATTATAATTGAATAGAATTTCAACGTAATTTATAATTTTAAGTCATGATTGGAAAAAAAAAATGGGTAGAATATTGCAAGCTATAATCAACACATTGTTGTCAAGGATGGAGTAAAATTGGATACCAAGTCATATAAATGTAGCTGTCATTCTAACATAAATGCCTCCTTCCTTACTGGTATATCTGTTTCTAAATAATTTTTCTTTTAATTTTGAAGTTTGATTTTACATGAAAATTATCTAGTAATATGAGTTGCACTAGTGCTCTGCAGGAATGGATGATAGGGCACCCATTCTCATCTCCATGACTTTCTTGTGTGAATTGGAATGCAAATAGCTAACAAAAGTAGGACTCTTTGCTGGCCTATACTCTGGCAACAACCTTCCAGACTTGTACCTCACTCCACATGCATTGCATAGTGTCTTTGGACCCAATGGTCCTGCCCTCCATTGTGGGGTCCTCTGAGCCAAACAATGTGTGCACCTTCTTGGAATTGGATGCTGCCCATTGTTATTGTTATCATTATTGTTCTTAACTTCAACCTCACAATCCCCCAATTTCTCCTTCCTCACAATCGAATTCTCCATGACCTCCCCCTCTTCCAATTCCCCAACTTTGGTCACCTCTTCTAACTCATCCTTCTTGTTAGGGACAATGAGTTCACTATCAGCCAACCAATAAGCCTGTTTCAAAAGAGGTGGGTCTGCACCCAACCCATCACTTTCTGGGCTCAGATGCTGTGACCAGGTGTTCAAAGTGTCCTTGGTTCTAGGGGCTGAAAGCCTCTTCCTCTTGCTTCTGGCCTTCCCTGGCACAGCAAAATTAGGCAACTGACACTGATTTTGTTGGGGTCTATGCATTGTGCTTGAAGGTTTGGTGCTAGTGCTTGTAGCTTCAACACCAGTAGGTGCCAAAAGACAACTTGGCCTACTAGAAAAACAGTCCTCCACAAACACTGACAACCATTCCATGCCAAAATCCACTTCCTGCGCACATTTTTTTATACCCCCGAAAAAACAATGCAAAATTTAGTAGGAACAATAGACAAAGTAGTATGCAAACAGTATTTTATACACCACCATATATTAAAACCACAGTGATGGAGTATAAATATATTCATCAAGAATTTTTAAAGCTACAAACTTTATAAAGTATTTGCAAATTATGTATAAATAATAAAAGCATTAACAACCCCTTTCTCATCACTGTGAAGGAAGAAAAACCCAAGTGGTAGAACTTGGAAAGAAAGCAATTTTATCAAGGAAAAGGGCTAAAGCAGAAAAATTAGAAAGGTAGAATGAAGAAACGAAAAATATACTAACCGTGTTCTGAGCAGAAAAAAGGTCATCAAGGGTAGGAATCTCTTGTTGACACTCACTGGAAACTGATACATTATGGCAAACATCCATGTCAATGAATTTTAAGAGATTGTAACAAAGAAGAAGATGATGATAATGAAGAAGGAAAAGAAAAAGAAAGCTAACTTTGGATCCCTAAGTTTGGTGTTACATGTCACACAACTCAACACTCTCTTTATGGTCCTTGAGTTATTTGTCGGCAGATAAAGGCTAAAGAAAACAAATCAAATTTTTCCAAAAAGCAAAATAAAAAAAATAAAAAAATAATATATATATATATATATATATATATATATATATATATATATATATATATATCAATTGCCAAGAAAGTTAACAACCCTGTCTCATGCAGACACTCACCAATCAACATCTCTCATTTTACCTTAACACGTTACCCTTCAACTTACCTTTGCTTTATGCCTTTATCTCATTTTATCAGGCTTTTCTTCTTTCCTTTTGTCGTATACATAATAATAATAATAATATCTTTTTAATCAATATCTAAAAGTATACAATAATAAATTTTTTATAAAAAATAATAATATTTAATATTATAAATATATTAAATCTGATAATATCTTATTTTTAATAAAAACTTATTATATATAATTTTTTATTATTACTATTAATCAGAGTAATAATAATACAGATTAAGTAATTGTTGAGTACTATAATAGTAAAAATATTTTACAATGTGATAAATAGAGGATAAATGAGAAGTAATAGTTACGTGTCTAAAAAATATGATAGACAATTTTAATACCAAACATAATACATGCCAAGAGATACATGTGGATAAAGTAAAGTAAGAGAAAACAACAGCTTGATTGACTTGTGAATTTTAATGTATAAGTGTATGCTTAAAATGATAGTTTTAAAAATTTATAAAAATAATTTAATAAAAATAAGTGATTGTTTTTTAAAATAAGTGAGCCAAACACACGTTAAAATAGCAATTCACAATTATTTATGCTTATTACAATGGAAAAAAGCACATTATGGAATAGAGATGGAAGTGGAGTATAATACAGCATTTTTATTTTTTATTTTATTTGAGTTTGAATAGAGCTAGGTGGAAGAGGAGAGATTTTTATTTTTTAGACTACTGTAAAAAATAAAATAAAAAATTCTCTATTTTAGTTAAAAATAAACAGCATAGGAAAAAGGAAGGGGGACAACGTCTAGAGTCTTTTATATTTCATTTTTTTAATTATTAAAATAATTTTTATCAAGAAAAATATTATAATAAAAAATTGAATTTTTTATATTAATTTAATGTTTTATAAATATTTTTATATAATATAATTATTTTTTTATTTTTATTCATTTAAATAAGAAAATATTATAACTTCCTTTTACCTCAGGTCCAAAGAAAGAAGAGGGTTTGTTGTAATATATTTTTTACTTTACCCTTTTCCTTGGCAATCCTATCAAAAGATGCATTGGGCAGAAAGCACAGAGTGGTTGTGGCAGCATGCTTGCAGTCTTAGATTCTTTGAAAATGCTTTCCTTTTAAACTTGTGTTTTCAAAATTCAGGCTTCAGTTGTGGTCCAAAACACCTACGTACATGGGTCCATTTGTATACAGTGGGGTAAATTACCATAAGATATTATGAATTATGATACTCCAGAATGCTGCTCCACATACTTAACAATCCTTTTTTAGGATAATGATATTTCAATTCAAGACCAAAAACAACTAATTAAAATTTCTCATTTACCTTATCTTAAAAACAATAGTGGCTCCTGTTACTAATTAAATATAAATTTCTGTCTTATTCCATTCAATTAATTCTTTAAAATTATACCAAATGTCAATTCAGAGTCTTTCACCTTTTAAAAACTTTTTATAAAGTATTCAATTATTTTATATTATTTTCATAATCATAAATTTTAAATTTTAAGTGGTTTAGACATTCACAGATATATTATTTTATAAATTTAATAATTAATTATATTTTAAAAATATACTACTTATTAAAATTAAGTAATATAATAAAGTATTTATTTATTTATTTATTTTTATATTAAATTTATAAGAACCTTCTAATCAACGAGTAGATTTATATACAAAGATAAATTTTAGTAACTTAATATTTCTTTTTTTAAAACTAAACTAACAATAACAGTAATAATATTGGTAGATACTTATAGTAAATCTGGTTCAATCCATTCAATTGTATTTTGGTAGGAAGGATAAATTTTTCTTGAGAATTTTATTTATGTAAAAAAATAAAATAATAAATTTATAATACAAAAATTAACGTAAAAACTTTAAAATAAAAAAATAAACAAACAAAGGTCATTATCTAGAGACAAATAAAAAATAACACTATGTAAATTTTTATAATACAGATTTTTTATTTTTTATTTTATTTCACGATCCTATACACTTACATTTTTTAAAGCAAATATTTCATTTACATCTCACAACACTTTAAGACAAGAATATAAAAATTACATACAAGCTTAGAGTTTTTTTTATTTTTTATTATTAGTATAACTTGAAGCAAAGGACTTATGTTCATATATAGCCCGGGTCTCTCATATCAATGTCAATTAGTATTCATATATTATTAACACACGTCTTACATTAATATTAACTAATAAATATATGCTATCATAAGTATATCAAAAATAACTTATCATTTTTTGTAACAGCACAATAATATTATGATGAAACATTTTTTATAGTTTAGAGAAGATATATCTTTCTTTTTCATAAAGAGAGACATTAGTAGCATTTGTGTAACACTCTATCTTTCTTCATCTTAAATATATTAAGTTTATAAAAATTTGAAAAGAATGACCAACTTTTCCGTATAACTATTAATCAAAATTTTAAAAATAAAATATTTCACGACAGTAAATTTGTATATAAAATAATTTGAGAAAATAAATTGTGTGATATATTGCAAATTAATATTTAAATACTGAAAGATTTCTAGATACTAATTAATATATTGTATTTACATATTATTATCTAAAATATATCAAAATTTACAATAGTTCATACTTAGTCTCACATTCTGAGGACCTGAAACTATTCATCTATATCATGTCAGTCTCAATTTCCTTTAAGTTCTCTGCAGTCAATTCATCATTCTTTCTAAGATAAACATCACAAGAATCCGTCATCATTTCTATACTAAGGAATCTCTCAAATATGTAGTTGTTCGGCTTTCCCAGCAAATTATGATCATGATAAGTAAATATTTTATTCATGATCCGAGAAGATCTTTCTATTCTCCAATATAGATAAAAACTAAGAGACTGATGAATTTGACCATTAGTTGAAAAATTAGAAGGAACTGCATAATTATAGATTGCTTCTAACGTGTACTCCTCGTCATTTCTAAAATATACTCTAAAATATAAATTTACCACACGTCTATATTCTCTAAATACATAATTTAACCTATTACTAACATAAGCATCTATTATATCAATTCGCACAGGATGGGTTATCATCTTTGCTACCTGCAGAGTGATGTAAAGGTGAGCAACTATTCTACCTTTCAAACATAACATAAATGCACCATATCACTTATCGCAATAATTATAAATATGCAAAAATCATCACTTTATATCACATATCAATTATTCTCTTCCTAACATATAAATTCACACAAGTACATTATATTCTTATCATTTCATTTCCAAATATGCACTTTCAGTGCACTATGATCACAGTCGTTCGATGCCTTCAGCAGTTCTCGAGGTCTTACTCAATCATGTAAATAGTTGTCAATTAGCTCATGCAAAATGGATACAATGTATACATTCACGAGCCCTTTAGCAAAGGCATAGTCAAGAGTCTAATCGGAAAATGAGTGTGAGGCAATGTGACGCATTCGCACTCAACAATAATATGTGCTTGTCAATAACCACATCTGCTGAATAGAAACATTAAACTGAAAGCCCATATAAAATGGGCACCCAAGAAAAAAAGACCATATGCAGATAATGAAGAACCATAAGACTGAATTACCTGGGATGCATGCGCCCATAAGAAATCGCAAACCCACCCATTAACAGTAATGGAACTCTACGCAAAGTTTCCTCCTGTGATATGAGTTATTATCCCTTGATTGCGCGAATGTTGCTCATCACTTTATATTTCTCTGAGATTTCCTTATCATTTATGGACTTTATACCTCCAGTGTATCTCTATAACTATTTACACCAATCCATTCAGTACTCTTATTCATTTCATTCCACAATCCAATCACAAAATTATGTTTAATAGCACTTCCAGACTAATTCCGTATTGCACATCACTGATTCATGATCTCAATAATCATATCATTTAACAAATCATCGATGACATATTCATTATGTTTAGACATATCACATCTAGTACATTCATCAAACTTGTTCAACTATAATATGTTGTTTCATCATATATTTCATATTTACATAGTATAAACAGTTAACCAAACCATCAAACATATGTATATTAGCAATCTTTCTTCATTAATACTCATTTCTCATACATACCTCATCAAAATTGTTACATAAACATGCTTTCACGAACTCAACATATAACTTACATCATACAATGATAGAATAGAGCCCCCTACCTTATAATGAAGATCTAAATGGGTTGATGATGAAGAACGTCCTAAAATAGCACTTCTACCTAGATAACACGAACTTATTCCTTAAGAACAAGATTCAAAGAAAACGAACAGTAAAATCACGATTAAACTTAAGGAAACTTACCTAGGATCGCTTAGAATGAACTTCAGAGAATAATTGGTGTTTGGAGAGGTTTTATCTGAGAAAATGTAGAGAGAGTTCAGAGAAAACGAAGTCTGGATGTGAGAGGAAGTGAAGAAATCAAGTTTTCATGTATGAAATCCTTAAATACTCTCAGAATCGCAACATTCTTGCTACAGCGAGTCTTTCTCGCTATAGCAAGAGACTGTTACTATAGTGAGCCTCTTTCTCACCATAGCGAAAATATCAGATAAAATTACACTCTATTTTTTGCATTTTTTTGCTACAACGAGACATCTTCGCTATAGCGAGACATCCTCGCTACAGCATGAATACTCTAGAATGTTTCATTTTTACCGCCTCTCTCTCGCTACAGCGAGAGACTTATAATTCTAACACTTCAAAATTCTCTTAACATACTCTCACATGCATATTTATCATAACCA